GGAGGAAAACGTGGAGATGGATGCTTCTGAGTGCGTGAGGACTCCAGTCCTCAGCTACGCTGCCCACTGTCATCCAGGCCAGGCCTGCCATGGAACTCAAAGAAGAAGCAAAGGGGCTTAAAACCTCCATGATGGAGTTATACCAGAGCAGAGCGCCAGTGTTAGATGAGTGTCACAGATGGGGAGACTGAGGCAGAACAGTCAGGTGGAGACAGTGATAAGTGTGCTTTTCCCTGGGTGCTGGAAACCACTGGTGACATGAAGGGAAGCCCCAAGGAGAGGAACCCTGCTGTCCCTCCTCTGCTTCTGCCCAGTGCGCTGTGATGTCCATGGACCCCACCTTCAAGTGTCTCTTGAGGAGTCCATCCACTTTGTCTCCTCTGTGGCTGCTCAGCCTAGGCTCCATCCTCCTCAATGATTCTCCCACTGTCACTTTTGACTTCCTTCCAGTCCCCTCTCCAGCCTGTGGCTTCCCACTGCCCTTAGAATGAAGGCTCACCCTCACGTTAGTCTCCCCGGCTCCGCAGACTTCCCGCCTGCCCTCTGGCTCTGTGTGGCTCTCTGGCCTTTCTGTTTAACAGGTTCCTTGGACCCTCCTGTGCCAGCCTCACATGCCAAGCGGCTAACACTCTCTTCTCATTCCAGGTGCCTGACTGAGGACGTCTTCCCCAGGGAGCCAGTGTGCAGAGGAGGGGTGAGTGCCGCAGAGGTTGTCTCCTGCTTCAGCTGAGGTTGGGCCCAGAGGTTTTAGATTGTTCTGTTACTGCTGAGGCGGCAGGAGGGGACAGTGCCGAGGCTGTCCCTGTGGAAGGAGAGTTTGAAGTGTTCATTCACCAAGCACACTGTTGACACACTGCCTGTGCCGCTTGCCCAGCATGGAGACAGCACACTGGAAGATGGATCTAGCTGGATCTAGCTGGATCTAGCTGGATCTGTGGGCCCCGGCCCATGCTTTCTCTTGCCCGGTCACTCCTGGATGTAGATTAGACTAGTCAGAGAGTGGTTCTGCTCGGCTTCGCCCCTGAGCGCGATGGGGCCTCCTCCGTCGGTCCTAGAATCATGTGTCCATGGTCCAGGCAGAGGTTGGGGAACCTAGGGTCAGGAATGAATGACATTTGTTGAACTTTCTGGCAGGAAAATTCTCTTTTCTTTTGTCCTTTTTTCTTTTTCTTTCTTTCTTTCTTTCTTTCTTTCTTTCTTTCTTTCTTTCTTTCTTTCTTTCTTTCTTTCTTTCTCTCTCTCTCTCTCTCTCTCTCTCTCTTTCTTTCTTTCTTTCTTTCTTTTTGAGACAGGTGTTTTAGGGAAATATTTGTTGGAAATGAACCTCAAAGACTCTCCACATTTAAGAAAGCTAAGTGAGTTGTAGCCCCTCCTGAAGGTGAGGTGAGGCTAGAGACTCGATCCGGCTAAGTCCTCAGGACAGGCTGCGCCACAGACCTTTCTTTGGCTTTGGACTAGGCACTCTGGAAGCCATTGCCTCTGGAAACTACAGTGACACATGCCTATAGTCCTCACGAAGGTGGCTGAGGGAAGGTTCCAGGCCCACACAGGCTACACAAGAAGAAGACAAAGCAAAATAAATAAACAATAGGAAAGAGAAAACAACAAGACTACTGGCTGACAGCGGAGTGAGGTCACAGAGAGAGCAAAAGCTAGTGACCTACACTGACTGAGAAATTGCAAAGTCACATGCAGATGTCACTGTGGGGTTGTTATTTAGGCAGGACTACTGGAGCTGCAATGTTGTTCTAGAACCTTCTAGTTTAGTTTGATATAGGTGTGTGTGTGTGTGTGTGTGTGTGTGTGTGTGTACACGCAAAAGATCACAGATGCTGATATGCAGGGCTGACCACAGAAAGATAATCTCACTGTGATTCTGAGTTCCTGCACACACACACACACACACACACACACACACACACACACACACACACACACACACGCAGGGTCTGTGGGGGCGGGACTGGTGGTGGTGTTGAGCCTGCCTGGGTCAGGTGGAATGAATGGCTAACAGAGCTGGAGTGTGTTATCCCTGAGTAGTGGGGGCAGGGGTGGCTTTAGCTTCTCGTGAGAGGAGCGATTTGGTTCCTTCCTGCCAGCACGCGGGGCCCCACGGAGATCTCTGGGCAGGAAGCACTAGGAACAAGGAATTCTCTGTCCACAACCAGAGGGCAGCCAGGACGGGAGGTGGATTAGGAGTCCCCAGGAGGGGGCCTGCCCAGCAGTTCCCTGACATTTGGGCAAGCTCCTGTGTGCATGGGGAGGTGGGGGCACAGTAAGAGGAGGCAGAGATCATCCGTTCAAGGTTCAAGCATTTATTCTTCACGCTCTTCAAGCTCTCCCAGGAGCCAGGCTCAGAAGCGGCTACAGGACTCAGGGTAGAGAAAGAAGAGAGTGTAGGTATTAGCCACCATCTGTTTACTGGGGGAGCCAGGGAATGTGAGAGGGGGTGATTTTCATAGGCGGCCTGCTGCAGAGGAGGCCACTGGCCCACAGGTTAAGTCCCATTTTCTTTCTCTGAGGCCTTGACCCGGTTCCTTTCCCGCTCTGGGCCTCAGCTCCGCAGTACACAGAATGTGGATGAGCGTATTGGACCTGTTGAAGTTGTTCCCAGATGGGAGAGGCTGGGCCCAAATGCACAGGGGCTGTCCCCACAGTGGCAGCACAGACCCGCTCTTGCCCCAGGTTGGCCTGGGACAGATCGGAGGACTGAAGGATGGAGGAAGAGTCAGGCTAACTCGCCATAGACCCCACCGTCTTCCCTCTGAGCTGGTCTCTGCCTCGGTTTAGTTGTCCGAACATAAAGAAAGGACTGTTTTTCTTCTAGGATTTATGCGTCAAGAGAAGGATTCTTGATTGGTCCCATCCTTGTGAGACAGGGATAGTCTGAATTGCTTGCCATACGTCAGGTTCCTGCCCATGTGCCAAGTGGAGGGGTGAGGTCACCTGAGGTCACGGTGACTGCTGCGCAGCCATCCCTGGACCACACTAGTGTTTTTGTGGAGTCCTCGTTCTAGGAGAATGAAGTTGATAGCCTTCAGGGGGCACAGTGAAATGCCCCCTTCTGTGTTGGGTAACACAGATACGTCAGCAGTGATAACAATAGCTTAATGACTGACTGCAGTATCCTCTGCATGGGACTCTGGGCCAACCAGTCTCCTCTCGGGGCTTGTTTCTGACAGCAAACGGGGCAATGATGGCACTCCTCTCCTGACCTGCTGGTGTAATTAAATGAGGGAATATGTCCAGCAGAAAGCCTTCAAGGGAGCAAAGGCCCGATAATGCAGCCTTGGTGAGAGAGACCTGATGTGCTTTCAGGCCCCACTGCCCGGCGTGCGGTCTCCTCACGACAGTCCTTTGGTGAGTGTTCTCGTCACCCCATCGTAGTACGGAAGCAGAGGCGCAGCTAAGTCCACACACTGGGATCCAGGCCCATGGAGCCTGGCTTCAGAGCCCGCCCTTCCATCGTTCCGCATAGTAGGCCAAGTGGCCGCCGTGCGTCTGCTTACATGCTTAGTGGCACAGTTCACGACCTGCAGAGGCAACCCAGACCCAAGCTGTACTGTTCTGACTCCCTGCTGAGGTCCACGGTCTGTCTCCATGCAGATCTGTCTGTCCAGCGTGCAGCTCTGACCCGG